CACGCCGGCTGCTTCCTCCCGCCCCCCCCTCGTCCCGCTCCAATAGCCATAAAACCGTAGGACTTCTTATACAGTCTCCGCTCCGGGGTTTAAGGTTTAATAAGCTGGTCCGTATTGCAGCATAATCACCGATGTTGTATGTATAGGTGCATTAAAAAAAAACCAACCCAAAACAAACGCTTTTCAATGGGAGGGAGCCCATAGAAAAATACCCTGATGGTTTATGGACTGAAAAAGCCCTAGGGTTAAGGAGCGCTAGCAACAAATGTGTTTCTCTGTGGTACAGTTTACAACTGTTAATGTGTTAAAGCATAATTAAGAACTGTGGAATAGACAAGCCTTTGGTTGTGGTTGGGCTCGGTCAGACCTGTAGTCTGGGAACAGGAAGGGAAGCCTGTGCATGTGCAGAAGCCGGGGGAAAGCTTGCTTCCTGCTCAGCTGCTCGTTGAGTCACACCGCACGCAGCACCTCGCTGTGACCCGCCTGCCCTTCTAGCTGGTGGCCTTTCACATCCCGACGTGCTTCCAAGAGGCAGAGAGGAACGTGCACAGGAGCGATCAGACCTTTTGGGCAGTATTAAGTATGTTTAAGCACTTGCCTACTCTGAACTAAACAGCTTCGTGAGAACCTGAACTGCCTGTTCATTGAGTAGGTATTTAGTGTATTGTGTGCATTGTCCCTTAAACTGGGCACGGTTGCAGACTCTGGTAGTATAATCAAACTGAAAGTGCTAATTGCAGTTTGTGTAGTGAACAGTGATAATTACATATCCTACAGCTCACAGATACTCTTTCAGAGAGTAAGGCTGAAGTCAGTCTAATGCCGTACACCTTAAGGCATATCTGCTCAAGTGGTACTTACACCTCTGGTATCAATGAAACAGAGTTGTAACACTGACACAAACAAACCTCTAAAAACCTTGTGTCTGTAGTGCTGACTTGGATGAGGCATTGTGATATGCTGCTTTGTTTCTTTATACTTCTTTTCCTTCCTTGAGGTCTGGATGATGTTATTGTTCTACACGCTTGTGTTTCCATTTCAGTTGGAAGTGCCTGATCAAAAATCCTCTTGTGCCCGCAAAAAAACAAACAGTTGCCTAGCTTACAGTGAACTTAAGCACTGGGTAGTTCACAAAGGGAAGTGGAAGGGTTTCCTGATGCTGTGCTTTAAAAGGCCCAAATGATCATAAATACTGACAAGCACCAGGAGAGTATAGTTGCACAGGATGTAAAATCTAAGGCTTAGTCACCCGGAATAACTTGCTTTTACCCAAAGAAGAACCTTAATCTAAAACTTTGTTTTCTTTGAGCTACTGAGAGCAGTATTTGATTTTTGTTTGCTGATATCAAGCAAAACTGACTTTTTACTGCAGACTTGCAGTTATCAATCTCTAATGTGAACAGGAACAGGTTTTAGAATTAGCAGCAATATATTTAGGAAAAACAAACAAAACTAAAAAACACCAGTGAGATGGAGCAAGGGTGTTCTTTCACAATTTCCTTAATCATCTGTACTTTAATTTGCTACAGAGTTCTCTCTTCCTCAGTCCTGTGTTTCTGCTTGCACTGGCTCAAACAATCATCTGGTCAACATTAATTTATTTTTGGTTAGATTTAGTATTTGTTTGGAACAAATACCTACATGGCCATATGTGTGCCAGAGACAATGTATGGGAAGTAGTAAAGGGAATGAGGGTCTGCTGTTCATCTTGATGTCATCATCTTGGATCAGTGTAGGTTCTTGGCACTGAACTCTGTCTTTAATCTTACAGTTCCTAGAGTCAGTGTCAAACTTCTGAACTGGTGAAGAATGTGTTTCAAGCTGTCACCGACAGTGTGAGTGGGTCTGGTCCCTCCTTGTGGTGAAACTGTTTCTTTTTCTGTTAAGTATCTGGTACAGCAACACAGGAGGTGATCGGGCACTCTTTACACCTGGGAAAGCTCAGTGACGGTACAGGTGTGATCTGGCTAAAGAGTGGGCACAAATCTGCAAAAGTTTATTTGCACATTGTTCCCCCTCCACTATTGAAGTGTCTACGGCGTGTTGTCTGTGAACAGCTTCTACAGAACTGTTTCTCCTAGACACAGTCACTTCCTCAAGGATGTGACAGGCTGGTACAAGAGTCACTGCAGTGGCTCTGTTCTCTGCAGGAATTTATCAGGGTGTAAGCAGTCTTGGTGACAGGCTAAACTTGCCTGAGTTGTCTTGCTGCTAGTGCTTTTGAAATAACATTTTGCAAAAGAAGTTTTGTGGTGGTGGTTTGTTGTTTTGTTTTTGTTTTCTTTTTAAGACAAACTGTGTTATCGAAAGGCCTTTATTACATGCTGCAGTTCAGACTTAATCCTGACTTGCTGTTAAAAGTAGATACTTAACCTATTTATTTTCTGTTTCTAGCCAAGGTGTGACTGTCTAGAATGTCCAGGCATGCACAACAGCTTAGAGACCGTGATATAAATCCATGTGTAGCGGTAAGATGATCAGATTGGGTTTTCTGTTTGTGTGTTGCAATGTTAAATAATGCAAATCTTAGAGGATTTTTTAACGTATAGCACTATTGGCATTTTGCATAAAAAGTTTCTTAAAGAGTCTGAAGATGGCAAAAGCTGAAAATCATCTCTTACAGTACAGGTGAAATAACAACCAGTAATTCCTCATAAATAGGAGTAACACAGCTGATAGCAATCTCTTCAATTTTCTGTCCTTAAAACCAGAGCCTGAAATGCTGCTTAGACAAGCTTGGTTGATTACTTAAGTCTTTTGTGGCTTATATCAAGCATCTTTGTAAACAACTATTCTGTGGACTCTACCCTTACTATTTAAAGAGTACTAATGTCTGTTATCTCTAAATGAATTAATTGCTGGGCATTACTGATTGTCCTTTGTGATAGATGTTCCTCTGCTCTCTTTGATAGTATTCTTTCATCTGAGAAGCTGCCTCCTATCTTCATAGATATTCTGGGACTTGTTAGAATTTTTAGACACTGAGCACAGTAACTTCTCTTACCTCTGAAGTATGTTTTCCCTATTAAAGGAAACAGATGCCTCTAGAAAATGTATGGATGACAACAACTCTAACAAGGATATGTGTGCTGCTTATTTTTTGAAGTACAAAAACTGCCGAAAATTCTGGGTAAGTGTGGCAGACTTTCTAAATTTTACTCTGTGCTTTGCTTTAAGTACATTACTGCTGACAACTGCTTTCTGAACTCTTCAGCCTTAGCTAGTGCTGACTGCTACTGTTTTTTACGGTGACTTACAGGCTTAGGTAGTCTTGGTACGTGTTGCTGGAAGAATTATGCCAATGCACATCAAAGTACTTCACTCGGTTCTCCTAAGTTTACTGTCTTAGAGTGTGAGTCAGTGTTCTTGCAGTACCTGATGAATTTGAGTCAGATATTTCTAGTAATAAGTTCTGTTTTAAATTGATATAATGGAAAAATTCTGGGATAAGATAAGTTCATCTGTTTTTTTCCATTGGTTTGAGTCATGTTTACTTTAATCTGAGGTAAAGCTTAGGAAGAGTTCATTCATATTTGGTGTTGTCCTTATTTCCTTCTCTGTTGTGGTAGAGAATTATGATGAGGAACTGTGTGCAGTTAAACTATTCTCTGCTGTTTTCTTTCCTTATGCCATAGCAGTAAAGAGTCTTTTAGCTTAACCTTTAAATAATTGCACAAACTACCAAAAAACTATTTACAGACAATTACACATCAATCTGACATAGTGTAATGGGAATACTGTAATTTCACTGTCTTCTGAAGCGGCAAGGTAAACTATCAGATATCTTCAATTAAATACTAGTACATTTAGTTATCAGCTAATCAGACTTGGAGTATCTGGCTCTTGATATATATAGAGTAATTCTGTTAAAGAATCTTACTCATTTGCAGCTTAGAGGCAGACTTCTGAGAAATCTGTATTCTCATTGTCACTTTCTTCTATTTTCAGCATAACATTATGATGCAAAGGAGAAGAAATGGCGTGAAACCCGAGATGCCTTCAGCAGAAGAGAGAAAAAAGATGTTGGAATCAATGGGGAACCCTTACTGACTAGAAACTTGCATTGAGTGACTGTTTTCATTGTACATATGAAGACTTATCAGCAGCAAGTTTCCTTTCTATGAACTGGACTTTACAGTTGTCATATCTTGGATTAAAATAAGCTCTTAAATTTTGAAATGTGTGAGCTTTCTAGGGTAGAACTTCTTGGTTTTACTCGTATTCCCTGTCGTGAGAACTTGGCCTGTCACTGGAGGACATGGGTATCAACACAGCTTATGTCTAGACACTTTGGAGGTAGAAACTAACTTGCTGTGAAATACAAAATATAAAATTAATGGGACTCAAGAAAGTCTGTTTGAAAGGAGGCTGGTGTGTGTTGCATTGTAGTTCTAGGGGTGGAGCAGGTTGAGAGACTGGTATGTGCAACATGTTTCTTGTATCCAGCTATTCTGCCTAATATTCTGGATTTATCACGTGATCTTGCCACTGTTTTCACGAGTTGTATTTTTTGTCCCTGGTTTAAATAAGACTGTTCATGAACTGAAATCACAAATCCAGCAAGCTTGTCATTAGGTCTGCCTCTGCAGTCATCAGTGACAGCAGAAGCTTGCAATAAATCAGATCCGCACACTTTGCTTGTTACAAGGTTAGAGAGGTTGATGAAGATAGAACTGAACTCCTCAGGACTGAACTGAGGAGTATTTGCTGTTGATAGTAAATAGATACTTTGCTGGTGGTGGTGGGGAGGGCTTGCAGACATGTAAACATATACTCTGAGTGACATGGCAGGTTTAACTATAGCACATCTCTCTAAGACTCTGGACAGCTGAAGCCCTGGGTTTGGGAATGCTTACTCATACAAGACTATAAAGCTCAGTTTGAACAGGTACTTTAATCTTAAATAAGATAGATTCCTTAACTAAACTGAACAACTAGTAAGTGTAAACAGCTTGCTGTCTAGTGGAAATACGGTTTTCTTACCTTTAGTACCTTCAGGTGTCCTGGCTTAAAAACTTGCGCCCTGTGGTAAAACAGAAGAACCATTGTTATGAGCTCAAGCTCCATGGGAAATCCTTTAGAACTTACTGTGATCAAGTTGGCAGAACTCTGCCTGACCTCATGAAGGATGGTGTAAAAGTGTTGTCTCTCTATTTCGGCTGTTTTGGAAAGACTTCATGGCTTCCTGTTTCTCCTTCTGTCTGGCTTGTCATGTTTCTTTCCACTGGAGGCCTATTTCTATGCTTAGTGGGATTTTTGTGCTGTTTCTACCTTTCCCCTTGTTAGAGGACCTGACTAGTAACTAATAGAGATCTGTTTTTCTTCCTCTTCTTTCTGTCTGTCTTCCTTATACAAATACCCTTTCTGTTACTGGCATGAGTGTGTAACTCAATGCCTTTTGAGTATGCAGCTCTGAGCATAGCTGTGCAGCCTCCAAGCCATGTCACAAGTTCTCTGGTCAGTTCCTGGCAAGGGAAATAGACTTTCTTCAATCAAGATCATCAGATTCTTTATTTTAAATTACATTCTCAGCACTTAAAGTTCAAACTTTGACTGGTTTTTTTTTTTGTTTGGGGTTTTTGTGGGGGGTTTTTTTGTGGAACAGAGAAGAAACTTCAATGACAGATTCAAAGGCTCTTTCTTGCCCACCATTTCCTTGCCACCTTCTTCCAATACCCTTCTACATACTAGTCTGTCCTTTCCCCCCCTCCCCCCCTTTTGGCACTGGTTATTTTACCAATTCAAGAAATTTTGGTCTGTTCTCATTCCAGCTTTTTTTTAGCAACTTTGTTCTTCTCTGATCTAATGAAGTCCTGCAATGACTTTCTAATACAGCTCCTCTTGAAGGTCTTCTGTTTTCTGTTCTCCCTGTCTTAATGAGAGGAGAACTCCTTCTTTTCATTAATCAACTTTAGCCATACTACTTCCTTGTTGACCACACCTCTATTCGATCTTGTTCATCTGCAGTTTTTGGAGAGCTGGTTGTCCCCTTCTGAGGTATTTGTCTCTCTGGACTTTACTGATTTTGCTGCCTTGCTTTTCTAAGGGCACCTTCTCTCCCACTTGGCACAGGTTTGTCATTTGGCACCTCTGCTGTAACTTTGGGCATGTTCCTATGGCTTTGGCTACTCTTCTTGTGCTTGCTGTTTTCCTATTGTTGTGCTCTTAGTTCTGGGTTTACATTAAATTTAGTGTATGTTTTAGTCCTGTGCAAGAAAAACAGCATCTCCTCTTGATGTGATTGTGCTGATTCTTCCTTGCATAAGCTCAAGTTCCTTAGTCATTTATCCTAGGTTTTCCTTTCAAATTTTCTTTGAGTTTAGAAATGCTCTTTCTCCTAGGTTATTGTTGTATTTACATTTTTTTTTTGCCAATACTCGCTTGCAAAGTTTCTACTGATTTTGTGTTCTTTTAAAGGACAATTGACTTACCTTTAGTGTACTGCTTTCTAAAGTGTTTGTGAATTACTGGTACTGGACTTCAGAAAGTTTGAAAAGGAGATGCATTCCCTGCTTTCAAGTATAAAAGAATGCAAGATCACAGGACAGGCAAAGGCACATGTAATGCAAGAACAGTATTCTGATATTAGACTTCCTGATAATCAGTGGACACACATGGTAAGCTTCCTGTGGGTGTTAAGACAAAATTGATTTTAATGGAAAAGGGTTATTTAAGCAGTGACCTTCTGAATTTAATTCGGGTATTCAGTCATTTGTAGGGAATGCCATTTATTTGTTTATTTACATTGCATATGCCTTACAGTTAAAGAACACAACTTTATGAAGACTCTTGGAAAACAAGAAGTTTTCTTCCTCATGTCATAATGCTTCTCAAGAGTAATCCATTATTTAAGTCTGAGTCTTCATTGGGTTTTTTTCCCCCTCACTGAAGGCTGTTGTTCTTGCTTTCACTAGTGATTTTCAGGAGTGGTTAATTATGATAGCTAAAACATAGGCTCTTATGTATGAAATAATTGAGTTTTTCTATTAGTTTTTGTAGAGTAATTAACTTTTGTGGTGAGCCAAAGATAGTGGTCTTTTCCTCATACCTGAGAACTTACATTCTACACTTCACTGAAATACTGAGGTAAGCTGTAGTGTGCCAGTCTTACTGGGCAGAAATAAACTGGGTTGAATTCTGTTGCGCTGAAGCACACTCTGGTGTAGTAACCCAGAAAACATAACACAGTGGACCAATATAATTAATTCAGAAGCAGGGAAAAGACCTGTGGGTTTGGTTTTGTTTAATAGGTGTAATTCTTCATTTTGGTTGTACAAGGACCAAATCTAGATAGAGGCATTCATGTTTCATTATTTTTTTGACAGCTGGATGGTGCTGTTGCACAACAGACTGTATGAAAACAGAACCACTCCACCCACTACTGTCCTTCTGAGCTTTTTTTTTTGCCTCTTCCCACAGAGAGCAGAATTCATGCAGGAGAAAGGGAGAAGATTGGTGCTGTCTCTACACTATAAAAAGAAGAGGACAAGAGTCTAAATCGCTGCTGGAAAATAGGAGGTTTCTCTGTGCAGCCTGACAAGCTTTGGAATATGGTCCTTGAAAGAGTATATTTCACTGTGATCATTTATCACAGCTGAGCACTGAGCAGCAGCTCGAGGCTCTGCCGGGCCCAGGTGAATGTCCTGGCTTCCATCTGTATGTTGTACCTTTCCCTTTTCCCTGAAGTGCAAAGCCTTTGTATGTTTGGCTCTGGAAGTTTTCTGCTGCCGTAATTGGGATGAGTCTGTGCTCTGAAGGCATTAGAAAAAAGTTGTTTAGCTCCAGAGTCCTGAAAACTTGGAGTTTAATAGCTGAAACTGAAAGGCAGGGAGTTGCATGTGCTGCAGTTCTGAGTCTTTTTGATGGTTTTCTCCTAATAAAACTTTTGCACTCGTGTTACCAAGGGCAGGAGGTTTCCCCAAAACTCCTGCAGAACAGATAGGATGAATTTAGAATATATATAGTTATTCTGCTCCAGTGCCTTTTTGAGGTGGCCCTTATTAAAAGTGTCTGCATCTCTAAAGACAGTCTTCCAAAATAGCTAAAAAAGTAATTGTAGTGTGGAAAAAGTTTGGAAAAATAATGCACTATTGCAGGCTTTTATTCTCTTGCAAGAATGAGGCAACTGAAGGGAACAGTTCTGTAAGTATTAAAGTAGTAAAAAGTAAAACAAGCATACTACTTCAGATTTTTTTTGGTTGCAGCCTGTTGATAGAAAAAATGTAAGAGGAAAGCACTTCATTTATATTGACTAAATGCAGAGGGTCATTAAAATAAAACCTCAGTATGTTTTTTATACATATGATACCATGTATGTAGTAACTAAAACTCAGATCTTTAAGAAGTAATTCCTCTCCATCCTCTATGCTTCTATCTTGTTGCATCCCATCTCAGAATCCTGTTCTGAGGACTTCCAGTTTTAAAGCCTTCATAATGATCCTTAAATCACACGATTACTTCCCTTTTGACAATTGAGCTGCTAACTGAATGTAGATATTTTGAAATCCCTTTACAACTTGTCTGTCTCACTTCAGCAGTCATCTCAATAAGCTCAACTTTGTCTTCCTCATGCTGATGCTATAGTCTGCCCTACCATTCTCCTATTACAGTATTTTGTAACTTTTATTTTCCTAAAGTACAATACTATTTTGTCTCCTGATTTCTGTATTGCATTCTTGCTTTCAGCAATTACAGTGCTTCCCACCCTGTCTTGTAACTTTTTGATCACCATCCATGCCTGAAGTTCAAAGTTAATCTTGGAGGTTTCATTCTACAAGCTTTATCCTCCCTAACTGCCTTTTGCCTAGTCATCTCTTTCACAAGCTAATTTCCATTAGCTCTGTCTGGAATATTTTCCCTGCTCATATATGCATTATACAACTGATTTCCCCCCGCCCAAGTGTCTGTTTTTTACAATGCTGTCTTGCCCTTCAACCCCAAAATGCCTGATTATTATTAGCAGTTGCTTCCCTAGAAAATCTCCTCAGAGGAGAGACATGATATTTAATATGAAGCACTGTCTCCTGGTGCTGTCTGTAGGACTAATTCCT